TGACTGGAAAAAATTTTCCTTTTCTTTCAGAAAATTTCCTATAAATGTTGAAAACAGTAAATATTATCTAAACTCTACTATCAGTATCTAAAGAAAGTGCTTTTAAATTTCAATTATTGAAATGTATAGCAAAACAAAAATGCCATGAATATAAATAAATCATAAATCAAATCTTACTGTAAACAGAATTTAAAATTTCATTCAATGAACAAATATTTTAAAGATCAACTATAAAAGAAAAACCATTTCTATTAAATGCATAGCTGTAATAAGATCAAAAATAAAGCTTTAGTAATATGAAAAAAAACTTTATTTTGTTTCTTTCATATTTATCTTTCAAAGATATCTAAAAGTTATAAAAATAAATTTTCAATATGTTTCTTAATTTGATATGCAAATTATGTTTTTGATTACTTATGTTAAAATAAAAATAATAAGTAAGATTTAATCCTACATGATTTTTATTTATTATATTGTACAATAATTAGAAGTAAATAATATTCTTAAATGTAAGAGATCATTAAATGTTTTTCTAAATATGAAAAGCATTGATACAATTAATAATAAAAATAAGAAATAAGAGTTGTTTAGGATGTATATTAGAAGATTTCCAGATTGTTTAAGATGTATATTTTAATATATATCTTAAACAATCTAGAAAGATTTTTCTAATAATTTCTGATATAAAAGTAAACTTTTCTTCAAAATAAAAAAATCTTTCAAGAACTATTAGTGATTATTTAATACTGAGCAGCTGACATGAAATAAAAATTTCAAATATGATAAACTCTAATGTTAATCTTTATAATAGACAAAAGTTTTTATAAAAACTTATTATGATTATCAATTTTGTTTTTTATTTTCTAAATTAGAGTTAAGGGCTACACTTTATTTAATTTTTATATGCAACTTTTTAAATTTGTATGTGTGAATGTATATGATAGCTGAATTTATATGTGAAAAGTTTTTCATTTAAAGAAATATTTAATTAAAGTTATTAAGAAAATCAATTACTAAATAATCTAACAGAACATTTTATAAAGTTTTTGAAAATAATATGAATCATGGTGATTTAAATCATCTATATTAAAAGTAACTGATTTTATATCTCTAATGAGATTAAATCATTTTTAACATTAACAACTGTAGATCTCTTATTACAATAATATATAATATATAAAAAAGTTTTTCTGTTGGCACAAAGTTTTACTGATACATTCTATATACATATATTCACAAAAATTTATAGAATATTTAGTTCAAAAATAGAACACTCAAAAGAATACATAACTATAATAATAATAAAATTAAATGAAAAATTACATATGTGATACTAATTATGTAATGAATTTAATTACAATGCACTTATCTACCTTAAGATGAAATTTAGGAAAATATTATTTTTAAAAATATGAAAATAAAATCTAATTAAATTCAATTGTTTTTTCTTAATTCATATCACAAGCAAAAATAAAAAATAAAAAATTAAACATTTTATAATTTTAGATATATACATTATTATATAATATATATCTAAAAATACCATACGAATGACTTTCTTGTTGTTATATACAAATTTTAATTAATAAAAACTTTATCAAAACAGTAACAATACAGTTTTTGAATATTTAATTGAATGTACATTCTTCGTTATGAAAAATNTTAAATTACAATAAAATATTAAGAAAATTAATCGTCGTGGTAAAAAGATTTTAATGCGCGGGATAGACTTTCTGCATCTCTATGGTTGATGCATCCTTTGTCAATATGGGCTTATAAATTTCAAGTTTTTTAATATGTTTAAGTACTTGTTTGTTGGTGGCAGTCCTAATTATGGATGCTTTGTCCCAATGTACATTAATATTTTGATGTTTAGCGAAGGCTGCAAGGACAGTACTGTCCAATTTTTTGGAATGGAATACTTATGCTCTTTAAGCCTCTGTTTTAAAAGTCTCATAGTGGCAGCAACGTAAACGAGATCTGAATTAAAACGGCAGTCACTTAAAGGAATAGAATACACTCCTGTACTATTGTTACAGTTTCCTTTCTTCTTATCATTTCGTACAATTCTATAAATCATAGGATTACGATGATAAATAATTCTTAAATTATTATTGTGAGATAATTTTTTAATCATCGAGTGTAGGAAAGGTATATAGTTGAGAACTACTCTTCGTCCTTGGTTCTTAGTTGTAGGTTGCTTATTTGTTTGATTACAAAATTTAACAATAAGAGCATTAACTTCACTTATATGATATCTCTGTTGTACAGCTATTGTATGAATGTAATTTAATTCTCTATGTCTTGTATGTCCTTGCAGCCTTCACTAAACATCAAGATATTAATGTACATTGGGACAAAGCATCCATAATTAGGACCGCCACCAACAAACAAGTACTTAAACATATTGAAAAACTTGAAATTTACAAGGCCCATATTGACAAAGGATGCATCAACCATAGAGATGCAGAAAGTCTATCCTGCGCATGGAAATCTTTTTATCACGACGATTAATTTTCTTAATACTTAATTTAATTCTTTACCACACCGATTAATTTTCTTAATATTTTATTGTAATTTAATTTTGTTTTTACGTTTTATTTTATTTTTATTTTGTTGTAATTAATTTCAAATTTTTAAACCGTTGTATTGCTTGCATTCTATTTTACATTCGTTTTTGTTTTAACTGAAGAAGACTATTAAAAATAGTCAAAAACGTTATAATATTTTTTATTAAATACTTTGTTGCTGGAAATACTAAGGTGTTTGATTATTTTAAGACATTTATATTCCAGTAAGTTATTTTATTTTACTTCCTTTAAGATTCACATTAATAGTAAGGAATCTGATGCATGGTAGACATTTGTTTATAACCTCCTTAAGTGTAATAATAATTAATTAGATCCCCAGTTGATTACTATTTTTATTTAATATAAATCACTTTGTGATCTTTTTGTTAAACATTTATTTTTATTTATTATTATTTGAATATTTTGATATTTATATCATTTGGTAACCATGTCAGTTTATGAAAAAATGTTTTAAATCATTCAAAACTGATATGATGTCTGTAAAATGAAATGAATAGAACATTCCAAAATTAAAATTCTCAGCCAGCATTCAAAAAACAGCAATTTTAACCTGAGACAGGCCTCTGGAAAAAACTGAAAACATTTGTGATGATAAACTTTCCATGTTGGAAGTGTGTGAAAGATGTAGTTTTAGTATGTTACTTTTTCCAGCTCCCATATTCATATAATAAAGGAAGTTTGAATGTTTGATTTTAATTCTAAAACAAAATAAATATTTTTAAAATGTCAATTTTATTGAAACATATTAGATCAAAGCAAATCACATAAAAAGAGAATTGGGTGTATAAAAGAGATNCTCTAATTTATGAATATCAAAATATATAATTTTTCTCTCTTGCATTACTTATGACTGGAAAAAATTTTCCTTTTCTTTCAGAAAATTTCCTATAAATGTTGAAAACAGTAAATATTATCTAAACTCTACTATCAGTATCTAAAGAAAGTGCTTTTAAATTTCAATTATTGAAATGTATAGCAAAACAAAAATGCCATGAATATAAATAAATCATAAATCAAATCTTACTGTAAACAGAATTTAAAATTTCATTCAATGAACAAATATTTTAAAGATCAACTATAAAAGAAAAACCATTTCTATTAAATGCATAGCTGTAATAAGATCAAAAATAAAGTTTTAGTAATATGAAAAAAAACTTTATTTTGTTTCTTTCATATTTATCTTTCAAAGATATCTAAAAGTTATAAAAATAAATTTTCAATATGTTTCTTAATTTGATATGCAAATTATGTTTTTGATTACTTATGTTAAAATAAAAATAATAAGTAAGATTTAATCCTACATGATTTTTATTTATTATATTGTACAATAATTAGAAGTAAATAATATTCTTAAATGTAAGAGATCATTAAATGTTTTTCTAAATATGAAAAGCATTGATACAATTAATAATAAAAATAAGAAATAAGAGTTGTTTAGGATGTATATTAGAAGATTTCCAGATTGTTTAAGATGTATATTTTAATATATATCTTAAACAATCTAGAAAGATTTTTCTAATAATTTCTGATATAAAAGTAAACTTTTCTTCAAAATAAAAAAATCTTTCAAGAACTATTAGTGATTATTTAATACTGAGCAGCTGACATGAAATAAAAATTTCAAATATGATAAACTCTAATGTTAATCTTTATAATAGACAAAAGTTTTTATAAAAACTTATTATGATTATCAATTTTGTTTTTTATTTTCTAAATTAGAGTTAAGGGCTACACTTTATTTAATTTTTATATGCAACTTTTTAAATTTGTATGTGTGAATGTATATGATAGCTGAATTTATATGTGAAAAGTTTTTCATTTAAAGAAATATTTAATTAAAGTTATTAAGAAAATCAATTACTAAATAATCTAACAGAACATTTTATAAAGTTTTTGAAAATAATATGAATCATGGTGATTTAAATCATCTATATTAAAAGTAACTGATTTTATATCTCTAATGAGATTAAATCATTTTTAACATTAACAACTGTAGATCTCTTATTACAATAATATATAATATATAAAAAAGTTTTTCTGTTGGCACAAAGTTTTACTGATACATTCTATATACATATATTCACAAAAATTTATAGAATATTTAGTTCAAAAATAGAACACTCAAAAGAATACATAACTATAATAATAATAAAATTAAATGAAAAATTACATATGTGATACTAATTATGTAATGAATTTAATTACAATGCACTTATCTACCTTAAGATGAAATTTAGGAAAATATTATTTTTAAAAATATGAAAATAAAATCTAATTAAATTCAATTGTTTTTTCTTAATTCATATCACAAGCAAAAATAAAAAATAAAAAATTAAACATTTTATAATTTTAGATATATACATTATTATATAATATATATCTAAAAATACCATACGAATGACTTTCTTGTTGTTATATACAAATTTTAATTAATAAAAACTTTATCAAAACAGTAACAATACAGTTTTTGAATATTTAATTGAATGTACATTCTTCGTTATGAAAAATATTCCATGTTTCTTCTTATAGAAAAATTTTGAAAATTTTCTGAACAATGTGTATAAAAACATTAAACTATTTCAAAGGATGATGCAGGCTTTGGACTAAAATTAAAAAAAAATTAATTTGATATTTCATATATAAAATTTTAAATTCTATTAGAAATATTTTTAAAAATAGAAATATATAATCTACATATAATTTTAAAATTTAACCTCTAATTACATTAGCATAAGTCAGTGCTATTCAACTGTCAAGCATTAAACCCAACATAGTCCACAAATATAATAGAATCTTCTTATTGTAATCATGGTTATTGTTATCAGTTAGCAAATGTTATCAGAATTAAACACCTCAAAGCATATCAGTTACAATGTATTTATGATGCTCACTGAGACCATGTGGATAAACCTTTAAACCTGGTAGTTGGTTCTGTGTTCATACCTGACAAATGGACTAGTCACATGGAGTTTTCAGGGCTGTGGAGTCGCGTAAAAATCTACCGACTCCAACTCCGACTCCGACTAGGGGCAGACTTGTTACCGAAAGAGACCCGGAAATTCTGATGTCATCACGTGACATCAGAATAAAATATTCAATAAATAGAGTTGTAATAAAGATAGAGCGTAGAAACTTTTTATTCCAAAGCTAAAAGACTTCTCTAAGTAATATATAAATATTTATTCGATAGTTTTTACTTTTCCGGCTGTTATAGGCCTGTATAACAGAGGAAAAGTGTAGCGCTCGGTCAAAAAATGACCCCTCCCAAATTTTTACATTTTTGGACTCGGGACACCTTGAAATTTTGAGATATGCAAAAGATTCGAGGTTTTTTCTATATGTGTGGATGTTAGACTGTGTGCGGGGGGCATGATTTCGTTCACCCTGTTTGAAGCCTAATAATTTCTGTGGTCAGAGTGGTCAGAATACGAGTCGGATGGTTTAACACAGGAGTTAGTTATTTAAGTCAAAGTGGTTGAACTAAATCGTGTCCCCATATACATTCTAACATCTTAAGCGACAACATCTTAACGGGTTCTACTGTACTATTATAAAATGACAAAAAAGCTTACTTTGAGGGTAAAGACGAGTTTTATTTTATTTTTTTAAATTTTGAACGCTAAAAACGAGTAAAATATTCATTAAGAGATATGACACATGGCCACTTTTATGTCTT